GGGTGGCATGGGTGGCATGGGTGGCATGGGTGGCATGGGTGGCATGGGTGGCATGGGTGGCATGGGTGGCATGGGTGGCATGGGTGGCATGGGTGGCATGGGTGGCATGGGTGGCATGGGTGGCATGGGTGGCATGGGTGGCATGGGTGGCATGGGTGGCATGGGTGGCATGGGTGGCATGGGTGGCATGGGTGGCATGGGTGGCATGGGTGGCATGGGTGGCATGGGTGGCATGGGTGGCATGGGTGGCATGGGTGGCATGGGTGGCATGGGTGGCATGGGTGGCATGGGTGGCATGGGTGGCATGGGTGGCATGGGTGGCATGGGTGGCATGGGTGGCATGGGTGGCATGGGTGGCATGGGTGGCATGGGTGGCATGGGTGGCATGGGTGGCATGGGTGGCATGGGTGGCATGGGTGGCATGGGTGGCATGGGTGGCATGGGTGGCATGGGTGGCATGGGTGGCGTGGGTGGCTCACAGTGAAGAGCTTGTTGAGGATGCTGTCTATCTGCACGAAGTAGGACTGCGGTGGGGCGAAGGAGAGCACAGATGGAGCACAAGGGAACAAGAGAGAGCAGCTGAAGAATGTGGAGAGAGAGGCAAGGAAGGTGATGGCGGAGAAGGCAAAGGCACTTGCCGCTACTATGATGGACGCCACGAGGCCACTATTTAGAAACACCACAAAGACCACTTGGCCACGAGGCCACTATGACAATGAGAGCTGCTCACCTCCAGCAGCTGCTCACCTCCAGCAGCTGCTCACCTCCAGCAGCTGCTCACCTCCAGCAGCTGCTCACCTCCAGCAGCTGCTCACCTCCAGCAGCTGCTCACCTCCAGCAGCTGCTCACCTCCAGCAGCCGCTCACCTCCAGCAGCCGCTCACCTCCAGCAGCCGCTCACCTCCAGCAGCCGCTCACCTCCAGCAGCTGCTCACCTCCAGCAGCTGCTCACCTCCAGCAGCTGCTCACCTCCAGCAGCCGCTCACCTCCAGCAGCCGCTCACCTCCAGCAGCCGCTCACCTCCAGCAGCTGCTCACCTCCAGCAGCTGCTCACCTCCAGCAGCTGCTCACCTCCAGCAGCCGCTCACCTCCAGCAGCCGCTCACCTCCAGCAGCCGCTCACCTCCAGCAGCCGCTCACCTCCAGCAGCCGCTCACCTCCAGCAGCCGCTCACCTCCAGCAGCCGCTCACCTCCAGCAGCCACTCACCTCCAGCAGCTGCTCACCTCCAGCAGCTGCTCACCTCCAGCAGCTGCTCACCTCCAGCAGCCGCTCACCTCCAGCAGCCGCTCACCTCCAGCAGCCGCTCACCTCCAGCAGCCGCTCACCTCCAGCAGCCGCTCACCTCCAGCAGCCGCTCACCTCCAGCAGCTGCTCACCTCCAGCAGCTGCTCACCTCCAGCAGCTGCTCACCTCCAGCAGCTGCTCACCTCCAGCAGCTGCTCACCTCCAGCAGCTGCTCACCTCCAGCAGCCGCTCACCTCCAGCAGCCGCTCACCTCCAGCAGCCGCTCACCTCCAGCAGCCGCTCACCTCCAGCAGCTGCTCACCTCCAGCAGCTGCTCACCTCCAGCAGCTGCTCACCTCCAGCAGCTGCTCACCTCCAGCAGCTGCTCACCTCCAGCAGCTGCTCACCTCCAGCAGCTGCTCACCTCCAGCAGCTGCTCACCTCCAGCAGCTGCTCACCTCCAGCAGCTGCTCACCTCCAGCAGCTGCTCACCTCCAGCAGCTGCTCACCTCCAGCAGCTGCTCACCTCCAGCAGCTGCTCACCTCCAGCAGCTGCTCACCTCCAGCAGCTGCTCACCTCCAGCAGCTGCTCACCTCCAGCAGCTGCTCACCTCCAGCAGCTGCTCACCTCCAGCAGCTGCTCACCTCCAGCAGCTGCTCACCTCCAGCAGCTGCTCACCTCCAGCAGCTGCTCACCTCCAGCAGCTGCTCACCTCCAGCAGCTGCTCACCTCCAGCAGCTGCTCACCTCCAGCAGCTGCTCACCTCCAGCAGCTGCTCCAGCTCTTCAATATCGTCGTTGTCGGAGTGCGCACTGCTGTAGGCACTCGCGCGGCTCATCACCGCCGCCATGCCGCCGCCCCCCGCCCCCATGCCCATGCCCATGGCACCCCACCGCCCGCCAATGGACATGCGCGAGCCGAGCGGGGAAGTGGCAAATGGCGCGTGGAGGGCGGCGGGGGCGGGCAGGGAGAAGGCGAGGGAGGCGGCGCCGTGCAGCGAGGTGGCGGTGGGGGAGGGCGGTGCGGCGGCCATGCGGGTGAGGAACATCTCAGCCATGTCATCATCATCGTCCAACAGCTGCTCCAACTCCTCCCTCACCTGCCATGCCATGCCATGCCATGCCATGCCATACCATGCCATGCCATGCCATGCCATGCCGTGCCGTGCCGTGCCATGCCATGCCATGCCATGCCATGCCATTCCATGCCATGCCATGCCGTGCCGTGCCGTGCCATGCCATGCCATGCCGTGCCATGCCATGCCATGCCATGCCATGCCATGCCGTGCCGTGCCGTGCCATGCCATGCCATGCCGTGCCATGCCATGCCATGCCGTGCCATGCCATGCCGTGCCATGCCATGCCATGCCATGCCATGCCATGCCGTGCCATGCCATGCCATGCCGTGCCATGCCATGCCATGCCGTGCCATGCCATGCAATGCCATGCCATGCCATGCCATGCCGTGCCATGCCATGCCATGTCATGCCATGCCATGCCATGCCATGCCATGCCATACCATGCCATGCCATGCCATGCCATGCCATGCCATACCATGCCATGCCATGCCATGCCGTGCCATGCCGTGCCATGCCATGCCATGCCATGCCATGCCATGCCATGCCATGCCATGCCATGCCATGCCATGCCATGCCGTGCCGTGCCATGCCATGCCATGCCATGCCGTGCCATGCCATGCCGTGCCGTGCCATGCCATGCCATGCCATGCCGTGCCGTGCCGTGCCATGCCATGCCATGCCATGCATGCATGTGGCGAGCACAAGCGTGAGCAGCAAAGGATGGGCAGGTGGTGAACCGTGCATGGGGGGGCTGAGTCATGGATGTGAACACAAATAAAACGTAAAGCAGGAAAACATACCTTCTGCACGCGAGCGATGAGTCGACTCATTCTGTTCTTCATGCTTCTCACTCGGTCCAGGTTGAGACTGCTCACCTGCCACCCACCACCATGACAATCCCAGCCATGAACACAAGCACACAACCACAAGCAGAGATTGAAGTGCATTCACTTGTGCAAGATGTGACGTGCAACGATGAGGTGCTAACTCCGTTGCATGCAGCGATGGCTGGGCTCTACTTTGACTTGATAAGCGAGGGGGCGGAAGCGCAGAGAGAAGCGCAGAGTGGCAGGGTGGAAGGGGCAGGGGTGGGGCAGGGGTGGGGGCAGGGGTGGGGCAGGGGTGGGGGCAGGGGTGGGGGCAGGGCCACTGACTCGCGAGGTGAGCTGATCGAGGGCGGGGTAGGCCTCGTTCTCGAGCAGTGTGGTGTGCGAGTCCAGCGCACGGCACACCTGCTCCAACGCCACCTCCAACGCGATGAACTCAAATGGCCGGTCTGATGCTCCATGCACAGGAGAGCGCGTGGGGGCAGCAGGAAAGCCGGTGGGTGCGTTACAATTAGAAATGAGCACAGTAACCAGCACAGTTCGCCTAGAGCCCTTCTTCTATTTCTAACGATTTGAGTCGACCCGGCTGGGGTTCCAGTTGAAACAAGTCTAACCCACGGAACCTACAGCATGAATCATTGTGCAACAATGGCAGATAAACCAGACGCCTTGTGAACCAGACACATGGCATGGTACAGCGGGACTCACACTCCTCCATGTCCTCCTCGTCCTCCTCTTCCTCATGCTGCCATCCCTTTGCTTCCCTCTCTCCTCCACCCCCCTCCCCCCCCTCTGCTTCTAGCCCCATGCCCTTCCCCCCACCGCCTTCCTTCACGCGCAGTCGCAGGGTGAGCGGCTCACTCTCTGCCCTCGACCCGTGCGCACTGCCCATGCCCTCCCATGCATCCTCCTCCTCCTCCTCTTCCTCCTCCCCCTCATCTTCCGCCTCCTCCCCTTCGCCATCCACTGGCCCACGTCGCTCACGCGCGTCACACTCCGCCATCTCAATCTCTGATGTCGCACGTACTCTCCGCCGCTCATCTGCTCTTCTTGCCGCATCGCTCCCATGAACAGCGCTCCCACTCTCCCTTGTCCCCTCACTCCCTTGATGGTCCTCTCTCCCCCCTCCACCCCCATGCACCTTGCTTGCATCGCCACTGCGTGAGTCGTGCCTGCTCGCAGACCCATCAGCGCCACTCACACCGCCGCCAGCAGCAGCAGCCAAATGGGGAGCATGAGCAGCGGTGGCAATGCGGCCAGGGGAAGCAGCACCGGGAATGGCAGCTTCAGCTGCGCCCGGCACAGCAGCAGCAGCAGCAGCCCCTGGAGCAGCGGCAGGGGGCCCAGCAGCAGGCTGCAGATGCAGGCGGCGCAGCAGGTCGTCCACAAAGCGCTGCACGCCCTCGTGCGCCGGGTTGCGCAGCAGCACCTGCAGAGCAGGGGAGAGAGAGGGAGGGGCATGGCGGACGGAGGGGGTGGCGGGGGTATGCTTCACAGGGAGGCCAGTCCAGCGGAGGGGAGAGCACACAGGGTGAAAGGCATGAAAGGCGTGAAAGGCGTGAAAGGAATGTAAAGGAAAAAGTACGGTTGATGGTCATTTGAGTTGCGAGGAACGGTTCCAACTCAGATTGAAGCAGTGCCTGGTGCAGACAGGGCAGGAAAGATCATGAGCATAAGGTGACATGCAGGGCAGATGCAAAATGGGAGAGCAGCAGCAGCAAATGCATGGATGGGCATGGGATGGGATGGCAGGTGGGCGTGGGATGGCAGGTGGGCATGGGATCGCAGGTGGGCATGGGATGGCATCATGGCATGGCATGGAGGGAGCATGGCACCAAGTGCGCAATGAAGGGCAGAAAGGCACCTCTTCAGCCGTGATGATGGCCTTGAGGTGCTGCCCGTGCCGCCACCACCCCGGGCAGATGAGTGGCGGAGGAAGGTTCCACACACGACAAGCACACATGGAAGGCAAAGAGGAGCAACAGGGATGTTGATGTGAGAGTAGAAGCAAAAGAGAAAATGCAGCCTGTGCCTGGCACTCAACTCGACATGTGAAAAAAAACAATACTCTGTATATTTTGGGCCCCCAATTCGAGTCAACCAGACGGCATTCAACACCGAAGTCCCACCTGCGGCCAGCGTTGCCAGCCTGTCCTGTTCCATGGCCTTTGCCCGTGCGACCTCGTGCCATCACTCGCTTCACCAGACAGAAACCAAAGCGCGCTCAAGAACTTCACTTGCAGCCATTCACGCTCATCTCACACTCCCCTCTCTATCCACAAGCATGGCAGGGCAGGACAAGGCAGGGCAAGGCAGGGCAAGGCAGGGCAGGGCAGGGCAGGGCAGGGCAGGGCAGGGCAGGGCAGGGCAGGGCAGGGCAAGGCAGGGCAGGGCAAGGCAGGGCAGGGCAGGGCAGGGCAGGGCAGGGCAGGGCAGGGCAGGGCAGGGCAGGGCAGGGCAGGGCAGGGCAGGGCAGGGCATGGCAGGGCAGGGCAGGTTGAGCAACACCCCCATCCCAAAGCGCTGCTCACCTCGAGGTTGAGGACGATGGCGGGGTGAGGCAGAGCAGGGCAGGGCAGTCGGGGCGGGGCGGCACCTCGAGGTTGAGCACGATGGCGCGCTCACCTCGAGGTTGAGGACGATGGCGCGCTCACCTCGAGGTTGAGGACGATGGCGCGCTCACCTCGAGGTTGAGGACGATGGCGCGCTCACCTCGAGGTTGAGGACGATGGCGCGCTCACCTCGAGGTTGAGGACGATGGCGCGCTCACCTCGAGGTTGAGGACGATGGCGCGCTCACCTCGAGGTTGAGGACGATGGCGCGCTCACCTCGAGGTTGAGGACGATGGCGCGCTCACCTCGAGGTTGAGGATGATGGCGCGCTCACCTCGAGGTTGAGGACGATGGCGCGCTCACCTTGAGGTTGAGGACGATGGCGCGCTCACCTCGAGGTTGAGGACGATGGCGCGCTCACCTCGAGGTTGAGGACGATGGCGCGCTCACCTCGAGGTTGAGGACGATGGCGCGCTCACCTCGAGGTTGAGGACGATGGCGCGCTCACCTCGAGGTTGAGGACGATGGCGCGCTCACCTCGAGGTTGAGGACGATGGCGCGCTCACCTCGAGGTTGAGGACGATGGCGCGCTCACCTCGAGGTTGAGGACGATGGCGCGCTCACCTCGAGGTTGAGGACGATGGCTCGCTCGCGGCCGAGGATGGTGGAGGGGTAGGAGAGCAGCGGGTCGAGGATGCGCAGGTCGCGCGCGTGCAGCCCCGTGCGCTGCATCACCGCCGCGCGGTCCAACTCCTCCTCGCCCTCCTGCCCCTCCACGTCCACCCACCGCCACCGGACCTGATGACCACGGGCCATAACGAAGGGAAAGGTAACAAGAAAGGTTAGCCGAAGGCGGGTGTGGGATTGGGGAGGAATGAGAGATGGAGGAGGATTAGAAGAAGAGGGAGAAAAGGAAGGGAAGGGAGACGGAACTCGGTGCAGGGAGACGTAGAAAGGAAAGCAGCAGCAGAGGGCGTGAGAGGCGAGATGAGAGAAGGTGCAGCGAGTTGTTGTGTACCCACCACCACCACCATCACCACTGCCACCACCAGCACCCATTGAGCAAGGGTCAAAGAGGCAACAGTGAACGAGCATCGAGACAAGCAGACTCGTCAAGCGACAAGCCTTTGAACCGCCTTTCACCTTCATCTGCCCGCCTGCTTTCTTCTCCTGCAGTGCTGACGTGGCAGCAGCAGGTCCAGCCACGTGTTGCTCATTGACAGGATCCAAACGAGCCCTGTGCTTCACGCTCTTCTGCACGCAGTGGGCGGATGGAGGGGCGCAACAAGGGAGCAGAGCTTGTGCACGCGAGCAAGGACTTGAGCGCAGCACAGCGGCTTGCGCGGGACGAGGAGTGTGGGCGAGCGCGCGCACGGAGATGGAAGAGCTACGCTGCTCACGTTTCTTCCCAACGAGTGTGAGGTGGGTTGAGGGGCATGAGGTGGGGTCATGCCCGCCATGACATGCCACCGCCATGGCATGCCACCGCCATGGCATGCCACCGCCATGGCATGGCACCGCCATGGCATGCCACCGCCATGGCATGGCACCGCCATGGCATGGCACCGCCATGGCATGCCACCGCCATGGCATGCCACCGCCATGGCATGGCACCGCCATGGCATGGCACCATGACATCGGGCAGCTCGCAAGCTGCTGCTGGAAACGAGCCTGCCGTTCACGTGTTAGGGGCGCTACGGCGGGCCGACCGACGTGATCGAGCAAGTGGCGCGGCGGACCTGGTAAGCCGCGAACTCTGCGGAGGCTGGCTGCCGCTTCATGCTCGCCGCACGCGTCGCCGCCGCCGCTACGCCTTCGCTGGCCCGCTGCGCCTTCGATGCCCCGCTGCGCCCTCACTGCCAACGCCTACTCCACCGCCAGCGGAAAAACAGGGGGGTTGGGGGGGTAGGTTTTGCTTCAGGTACTTCATCGTAGCTCTACTCAAAGTTGCGCCAAACCTACACTGAAGTTGCTTTCAGCGCGGGCGCTTCGGGAATCCGGGGGGTCACGAAAGCGTGAGTTGGCGTGCAGCTTGCGTGGACGAAATTTATTGGATCTCGATTCATACCTACGGGATAGCTGCTGTTAGCGAAATACCTCAGCTTCGTTTGCTTTCCTGTTTTAAATTCGCCCCTTTCGTCCGATCACAGGTTCCGGAGCAAGGTTCCTTTCGAGAACAAATCCCGCTAAGGAGTTTTGGGTTACACAACGGAACTAATGGTGTTAGATATAAATTAAGGTACCTGCATAGTTTGTAACCAATTATACCTACTAGGTCTATTTCGAAATAATTTTGTTACCTACTCAAGATATCGACCCTTGTAATTACACGCACGCCTAATCATTTTGGAAATTCATTGCATTGATAATTAGCGCTGAACCCCAAACCAGTTTCTGAGGCCAATTCCCTTGCAGCAATTACTATACTCTGAGCATGTTAAGAATGTCAAATTTGTAGCATCTAATAGAAAGATGTGTTGTTTCAAAACAATTGAGCACGGAAAGTTGTGCAACGATAGGTCAGTCCGCAACATGTCACTATTTCGACGTCTGGATCTCTTGTTTACCACTAGTTCTTTGCACAGTGCCCTACTACATCCTATTCCCTATCCGTAAGAACTGGTTTGGGTTCGTTCGCACAACTACGCAGCACGAGGCGTATGTTTGTGTCAGAATGTGATGGTTGTCTAGCCTGCAGTGGGGTACTCTATAGCGAGTACAGCCCTTCTAGGGTTTGCATATATGTATCCCTATGCTTGTTAGTCAAAACCCCTTCTTGCCTGTTTCTCGTTTTGGCCTAGCATTTTGACATGCTATCAGAGCGGGTCGACCCTCCTGGGTCGATCCTGTGGGTGGTCCCACCAGAAGCTTCCGCTGTTGTTTCCTGCTGTTTCCTGCCTGCCGCGCGCTCCGGGCGCGCAGCGATTTTGGCGCGCGGCGGTTTTTTTGCCCCGTCACTCGGCGCGTCGCCCCCGGGAGGCGCTGCGACGGGCGACGGGGACCCGCGCGTCGCCCCCCGTCGCCCGTCGTGGCCTGCGCGCGGCCCGTACAGCCGGCGCGCGGCCCGTACGGGCTGCGCCAGGCCCGCGCGCGGCCCGTACGGGAAGCGCCAGGCCCGCGCGCGGCTCGGGCCGCCTGCGCGCGGTTCGGGCGGCTATGCCAGGCCCGTGGGCGGCCCGTTCCTCGCTGCCCCTGCCCTCCCCACTGTCCCCCGTGCTTCTACTGGCGCCCCACCCCTCCTACAGCCCGTTCTCCTGAATTAGGGTTTGGGGGTGAGGGGTATGGGGGTGAAGCCACTGAGTGCCGTTCCCCTCCTCCTCCTCCTTCTCCGTCTCCCACTACTGCAGCTGCCGCTGAGGGGGGTGGGTGTGTGGGAGCCGAGGGAGTGGCGCTAGGGGGTGTAGTGTGAGCGGTGCTAGGGGAACAGCAGGGGGTGTGTAAAAAGGGGGTGGGACATGTCAACGAGAACGGACTGGAATGATGAACTAGCAAGGATTGTGAGTACAAATATGAAACCCTAATGTTGTGACCCCCCTATAGGCTAACCCACTACAGCCTACTCAAATACAACATGTATAATGTTTGACACACCCCCATAGGCAAAGTGGGGGAGACCTAAGGGTCACAAGACCAGTCAAGGCAAAGCAAGGCAACAACAAGCTCAGGGTGGATCTCAAGGATTCCACACAAATTCCGAGCACAAGCTAGTGGTCACAAGACCAGTTCACATGCAGGTTTATAACAAAGCAAGAGATACAGTGATCACAACCTAGCAAGAGTAAACATGCAGGTATAGATATATATAGTGATCACAGTACAAGCAAAGTCAAGAGGTAAGTAAGTGAGGTCCAGTAGGCACAAGGCCTAGTAGAGTGCAGAAGCGCTGATGGTCACGAGGCTGAAGCGCCTTGGTGAACACATCAGCAGTGTTGGCCTCAGTGGCCACGTAGCGAATACAAAGCTGACCGCGCTGCTGCAGCTCACGAGCAAGGAAGTACCGCAGGGCGATGTGCTTCGTTCTGTGCTCCAGTCTGTGCTCCTCACACAAGGCAATGGCAGCCTTGTTGTCGACGTACAGCACTGGAGGAGAACGAGGCCGCTCTCCCAGGTCGGTCAGCAGGTAGGTCAGCCAGCGTAGCTCCTGGGCAGCCATGGCTGTGGCGTAGATCTCAGCCTCACAACTGGAGCCGAGAACAGAAGAAGAGCGTGTGGAACGCCAAGAAACTGAGCCAGAGCCAAGGCTGAAGGTGTAACCCTGAGACGACCGCTGAGTGGCCTGGTCGTCTGCCCAAGAAGCGTCTGAGTGCCCTGTGAGAACAACTCGGTCTCGCCCTCCAAGCACAAGCCCCATGCCCGACGTACTGCACAAGTAGCGCAACACCCTCTTAGCGGCATCCATGTGCTCCTTCCTGTGACGGCCAGGAGCGACATAGCGTGCAAGGATGCTAAGAGGGTATGCCAGGTCAGGTCGAGTGCAGGTCATCAGGTACATGAGGCAGCCCACAAGCTCTGGATACGGGCCACTCGGCTCTACGGACTCATCCGAAGGCAGAGCTGAGAGCGAGTGACCGGTAGGCAGAGGAGTGGACTGAGGCGAGGAGTACGTGAAGCGGAAGCGCTGGAGAACCTGCTGCACCATGTGTGACTGAGTCAGGGTGATGGTGCGCCGTGCTCTGTCCCGGGTGATCCGCAAGCCAAGATAGCTTGTCAGCTCACCCAGGTCTGTGCACGTGTGTCTCCTCTGCAGCTCCGACTTCACGTAGGCGAGTCCTGCAGTGTCAGCAGCGGCAAAGACCAAGTCGTCGACGTACACGAGGATGTAGAACGGCGGCAGCGAAGTGTCGGTGCGCAGGAACAGCGACGGGTCAGCTGTAGAAGGCGCGAACCCAAGAGCCGCAAGTGTAGTCCTCAGTGTGTCGTGCCACTCACGCGGAGCCTGGCAGAGACCGTAGACCGGCCGCTGAAGCCTCCACTGGGTACCAGGAGGAAACGACCCAGTGAAGCCAGGTGGGCGGCGCAGCCAGATCTCCTCGTGCAGGCTGCCCTGCAAGAAAGCAGTGCTGAAGTCAAGTGAGTGAAGCTCGTAGTCGCGGTGAGCGGCTATGTGCAGCAGCACCCGAAGAGTAGTCATCTTCGGGGTGGGGGAGAAGGTCTGGAAGAAGTCAACTCCCTCTCGCTGACTGAAGCCTCGAGCCACGTAATGCGCCTTGAAGACAGGCGGAGAACCCGGCGGCCGCTTCACCCTGAAAATCCACATGCCACTGACGATGTTCGCCCCAGGAGGGGGAACCTCGTCGACGTAGGTGCGTGTGGACTTCTAGGAAGCCATCTCGGCGTCCATGGCTGTCTGCCACTGAGAGGAGTAGGGACCCGCCATCGCCTCAGCGTAAGTGCGCAGGGTCGGGATGTCTGGTGCATCCGGGTCTCCCTCAGGGGCAACTAGCAAGGACACGAGACGAGGCAAAGCAGCAGCAAGACACTGGAACTCCTCCTGTCTGTCCTCAAGGACGTCCGTGCCAAGAGCACACTCACCCCCGACGGACGGAGGACAGACAGACTCAGACTCAGACTCAGCAACAAGGCTAGCAGCGTAGTCTAGACGACAGGCAGCAGCAAAGTCAACCAACTCAGTGTGAAGGTGTGCAGTGCTGCAGTCGACTCAGTACCAGGGGGCACGGACGCACTAGCACCTAGGGCTGCAGCCTCACCAGGACCTGTGGGAGCAGACGCACTAGCACCTAGAGCGGCAGCCGGACTGGCCTGAATGCCCGGGTCGGGCGGAACACGCAAGTACTGAGCACCCTCTCCACTAATAGACATCGCATACATGGCAGTGAGAATAGCATCAAAGTCTAAAGCCCAAATATCAACACCCCTCTTTTCCAGATCAGCCCAGCGCGGCAGCTCAGTGGCAGCAGGAAACTGAGTGCGCCACGCGTCGGTAAGGCGCGCGAAGCAGCGCTGCGTGGGGTGCGGCCTCCCACACTGCTGGCCGCTGCGGTCACCTGTGCGAATGACGTACGTGCAGGTAAAGCCACGCTGCGCATACCACTCACGGGCGGCCTGAAGCGTCGGGGCGGGCTGCTGACTCTGCCCTCCGCCAGTGCCTCCACGACCACCACCCCCACCGCCGCCGCCCCGGCCACCTC